AAGTCTGAAGGGATATGGAGCCCAAGCATAGCCTGGGCAAATAGGAGTCAAAAACCTTCCAAAGTTAGGAGTTATGTCTGCATGTGGAAACTCAGTTATTTTCTATGGCACCAGGAAATTTTTCTACACTGGATTCTCATGTGAACTGTACTGGTTACATTTTCCACAACCACATACTGTACAACAAACCAGTCTGACCTGCAAGGGAAGTACAAGCGTTGGTCCTTTTGCAATGCTCTGCTGCCTAACCAGTTTGTGTTTGCAAAATGACATGTGGCTGGGTCAAGATGGAGGTTACCTAGGGAAGGGAGTGTAGCTATATGAGGCATAGCCTAAGATCCTTTTTGGGCTTGCTTAGGGCTTCAGATGCTGTGGAGTTGAAGGATTTCATTTCATCCAATTGTACTGATGTCTTTTCTTGATTAGGTATTGGTGTTGGGAGCTGAGGAATTCATAGTCTAGGTAGGAAAGAAAGGAAGACATTTATATGATTAGTGATTATGTAATTCAGAAAAAATTGCAAAGCAAAATAAGCAAGATTCTGTGGTGATGAAGCAGGAGTTAATAGAATTTCCATTTGTTTATTTTTACTTTAGTTTCCCTTGCTCAAGGGGACATATCAAAAAACATATTACTCAGACTGAGGTCAAATAGCTTACTACCTATGTTTTAGCCACCTACGGGTTTTATGGTTTCAGGCCTTACATATAAGTCTTTGATCTATTTTGAGTTTATTTTTGCATATGGTATAAAAAGAGTGATCCAGTTTCATTTTTTTTGCATGTGTGTGTCTATCCAGTTTTCCCAATACCACAACCTACTGAATGGAAGAATATATTCCCATGTCCAATAAGGAGTTGATTTCCAAAATATACAAAAAAGTCATTCATCTCAATAACAACAACAACAAAAAAATCCAATCCAAAAATGGACAGAGGACATGAAGAGACATTTCTCCAAAGAAGACATACAGATGACCAACAGATATGAAAAGATGCTCAACATCACTAATCATCAGGGAAATGCAAATCAAAAGCACAATGTGATATCAGCACCTCACACTTGTCAGAATGGCTATTATCAAAAGGTCAACAAATAGCTCTGACTGATGTGGCTCCATGGGTTGGGTGTCATCCCACAAACCGTCACCCATTTGATTCCAGGTCAAATCCTTGGATTGCGGTCCAGGTACCCAGTTGGGGCCATGTGAGAGGTAACTGATCAATGTTTCACTCAAACATCGAAGTTTCTCTCCCTTTCTCCATTTCTTCTCCTCTCTCTAAAGAAAAATAAATAAAATCTTTAAAAATAATAAAAAAATAGTTTGAAAAAATCAACAAATAACATGTTGGCAAGGATATGGAGAAAAGGGAACCCTTATGCACTCTTGGTAGGACTTCAAATTAGTGCAGCCACTATGGAAGACAGTATGGAGCATCCTCAAAAACTAAAAACAGATCTACCATAGGACCCAGCAATTCCAATTCTGGATATTTAACTGTAGAAACCAAAACACTAATTTGAAGATATATGCACTCCTATGTTTATTGCAACATTATTTACAATAGCCAAGATATGGAAGCAAACCGAGGTGTCCATCAATAAATGAATGGATAAAGAATGGGAAATTTCTGGCTAAGATGGAGGCATAGGTAGATATACTTTGCCTCCTTGCACAACCAAAAGGAGGACAACAACAAATTGAAAAACAAAAAACAACCAGAACTGCTAGAAAATTGAACTGTATGGAAGTCCAACAACCAAGGAGTTAAAGAAGAACTATTTATCCAGACCAGTAGGAGGGGTAGAGATGGGCAGCCAGGGCAGAGAGGACATGAGGCAAGGTGGCCTATCGGGCAGGCAAGACTGCAGCTGGCAGTCCCACATTTGCATGCAGATAAACCAGGAGGAACAACAGGAGAGTGAGACAGACTGCGCAATCTAGGGTTCCAGTGCGGAAAAAGAAAGCCTCAACCTCTCGCTGTAAAAATCTGTAGGGGTTGTGGAGGCAGGAGAAACTCCCAGCCTCACGGGAGAGTTCATTAGAGAGACTCACAGAGTCCCAGAATGTACACAAACCCACCTATCCAGGAATCAGTACCAGAAGGGCCCAATTTGCTTGTGGATAGCAGGGAAGTGACTGAAAATGGGGCGAGAGCTAAGCAAGTGGCATTGTTTCCTCTCTGACCCCTCCCCCACATACAGCTCCATAACACATGCTCCACCCTGGTGAATACCTAAGGCTCTGCCACTTACAACATAACAGGAGCACTGAGACAAAGAAATATGGCCCAAATGAAAGAACAGACCAAAACTCAAAAAAAAAAAAAAAAGAACTAAGTGACAAAGAGATAGCCAACCTATCAGATGCAGAGTTCAAAATACTGGTAATCAGGATGCTCACAGAAATCACTAAGTATGGTCACAAAATGCAGGAAAAATTGAAAGCTATGCAAAGTGAATTTAAGAAAAATATACAGGGAACCAAAAGTAAAGGGAAGGAAACCAGGATTCAAATCAATGATGTGTAGCAGAAGGAAGAAATAAACATTCAACCAGAACAGAATGAAGAAACAAGAATTCAAAAAAATGAGGAGAGGCTGAGGAACCTCTAGGACAACTTTAATTGTCCCAACATCCAAATCATAGGGGTGCCAGAAGGAGATGAGGAAGAGCAAGAAATTGAAAACTTATTTGAAAAAATAATGAAGGAGAACTTCCACAATCTGGCCAAGGAAATAGACTTCCAGGAAGTCCAGGAAGCTCAGAGTACCAAAGAAGTTGGACCCAAGGAAGCACACAACAAGGCACATCATAATTATACTACTCAAGATTAAAGATAAGGAGAGAATCTTAAAAGCAGCAAGAGAAAAGGAAACAGGTACCTACAAAGGAGTCCCCATAGGACTATCAGCTGATTTCTCAAAAGAAACCTTACAGGCAAGAAGGGCTGGAAAGAAGTATTCAAAGTCATGAAAGGCAAGGACCTACATCCAAAATTACTTTATCCAGCAAAGGTATCATTTAGAATGGAAGGGCAGATAAATTGCTTCCCAGATAAGATCAAGTTAAAGGAGTTCATTATCACCAAGCCAGTATTATATGAAACGTTAAAGGGACTTATCTAAGAAAAAGAAGAAGATCAAAACTATGAACAGTAAAATGACAACAAACTCCCAACTATCAACAAATGAACCTAAAAAGAAAAACAAAAACAAACTAAGCAAACAACTGGAACAGGAACAGAATTACAGAAATGGAGATCACATGGAGCTTTATGAGTGGGGAGGGGGATGGGGAGAATGGGCGAAAAGGTACAAGGAATAAGAAGCATAAATGGTAGGTACAAAATAGACAGGGGGAGGTGAAGAATAGTATAGGAAATGGAGACACCAAAGAAGTTATATGTAAAACCCATGGACATGAACTAAGGAGGGGTGGAATGCCGGTTGGAGGGTGGGTGCAGGTCGGAGGGGGAGAAAAAAATGAGACAACTGTAATAGCATAATCAATAAAATATAGTTTAAAAAAGTGACCTAGCCACATTAAAACAAACAAAAAAAGGATATTATGCAGCCATAAAAAGAATGAAATCTTGCTATTTGCAAAAACATGGATGCATCTAGAGGGCATTATGCTAAGAAGTGAAATAAGTGAAACAGAAATACAAATATACCATATGGTTTCACTTATAAGAGGAATCTAATGAACAAAATAAACTAATGAGCAAAATAGAGCCAGAGGCATGTAAACATGGGAACCAGAGAGGAGGGGAGGGGGATAATGGTAGAAAGAATGTAAAGGCAGTAGTCAAAGAACATATGTGAATGACCCGTGGACATGGACAAGGGTGTGGGGATTGACTGTGGGAGCAGGGGTTGGGCTGGGTGGAAGGGGACAAAGAGGGAAAAAATTGGGACAACTGTAATAGAATAACAATAAAAATTTTTAAAAAACAGGTCTACTGGGAGATTCCGGAAGGTTTATTTGAGGACATGGCATTTCCTCCAGGCCTTGAAAGACAGATAGTATTCCAAAGACAGAGAAGGACATTATAAGTGGAGGGAATCTGTGAGCAAAGGCATCAGAAGCCTGAGCCCAAGGAAGATATGCTGACAGCCCATTGCTCAGATGGGCAACTGGGGAGAATTCTTTGGGCCTTTGACTTGTGGGGAGGGGACCTGTGGCAGCTGCACCTTTGTTTTCCTAATGAACATCATTAAAATTTAACTTTGAAAATTCTATTGTTAATGATACTTTAAGGGGCCTGTGAGTGTTACTGACTTTGTGGTCTCCTTACAAGGGGGAGGATTTGAGGTAGCCAACACTGGCTGAGTTGTCCCAGGCCCTGCTGTCTTTCATGGATGGCCTGTTTGTTGGGTTAGAGTATTGGGTGCATCAGTAAAGGATTACAGAAGGCCTTATATACCATGTTAATGGGTGTAGGTACTGCTGAGGCATTAAAAGGTTTTAAGCAGAAGAGTAACACAGTCAGCTATACATCTTAGATAAATCCCTCTGGTTGCTGTCTGAGAGATCGGGTAGACAAATGTAGGAGTGAAAGGAGAGAGTCCAAACAGGAATCTAACTGAGCAAATGGTCATGGGGCCTAAACAGAGCCTGCTGCACTAAGGGTGATAGAGTGGAGAAAGGTGGTCAATAAGACATGTCTCAGAGGTAGAATCAAGTAGCCTTGAGTACTCACTGGATCTGTGAGTGTGTAGGGGAGTATGAAGGTGGAGGAGTAAAAGGTGGCTGCATAACAAGTGCAAAGGCAGGTGGCACATCTGTAAGAGTCCCCAGTCTCAAGGAGCATTGGGAGAGTACGGAAGGGGAGGAGAGGGTCAAGTGAGAGACAGGAGGAAGTTTGGAGTATGAGAATGAAGAAACCCCAGATGCCAGGTGGCAGTATGGAAGCCCCGCCCTCGGCTCCGGCCCCGCCCCTGGCTCCACCTCTCCTCCCTTTTCCCACCCACCCTCCAGCAGCAGCTCTCATCCTCGAGGGCGGAGAGAGGTGGCATTTGAGTCCTCCGGTATCCCAGCAGGCAGTGCAGCCCAGAGACGCTGACAAAGGACCGGAGGAGCAGTCGCAGCTGCTTTCTGAGGAGCCAGTGTTGCCGAGGTGAGAGTCCCCTACCGTCCTGTCACCCACTTCTTCCGACTTCGGGAAAACATGGAAGTTACGTTGCTGAGAGACCCCGTGGAAAGAAAGAGCAATCCCCAAACCCCGAGCATGGCTCCGTGACTGACAGCAGGGCTCCGAAGAGCCAGGATGCGGGTGGGAAGTGGAGAGAAGGAGTCAGATGGGGTCCTTTCTGCTTCATCTCTGTCAGTTGCCCTGCCGTATGCGGATCCCAGTCCAGGGTCTGGCCGGCCAGTGTGTGTGTCTCTTGTTCCCGGGCGGAGGCAGCAGGCTCGGAATCCTCACTATGTCTGCCCAACAGAGTTCGGTTACCCCGGGGATGCGACTCCGGGGACAACTCTTTGGCGGATGTTTTGAAGAGGACTGCAGGAGGGAGTTTGACTCTCTATTCGGGGTGACACAGTCCTCGCATTTCCTCCTTCCTCCAGCCCTGCTGCCCCCCCCCCCCCAACCCATTGAGCAACTGGAAATCAGCGGGGCTGGAGAGCTGCGTCCCGGGGTGGCTGGAGGGAGATGAAAGTGGGGTGGAGAAGGGCAGGGAGGAGGAGTGAACGTCTTGGAATAATGGAGGGGGGGTGTAGGAGGTATGTGGCCTGTATGCTTCCCCCTTCCAGGACCTCCGCACGAATCCTGATGGTTGCACCAGCTGCTTGGCTGTAAACAGGCTCACATGACCGGTTTCACGTGGAGCCAGCCGGTGTGGGGATGGGGGCTGGAAAGGCTGGGCCTGACCCAATCAGGTAGAGCTGAAGTCCTAGGACGGACTGTTGATACTCTCTTCCCTGCCCTCCCTCACTTATTCAGTGTTCTGCGGTTTCCCCTTCTGGGTAAAGTAACTGACATCTGTCCTCCCCGGACTATAGTAACATTTCTGCACCAGTAGACTCAAATAGATCTCTCATGTTGGGGAACGAAAGGGCAAATATTAGATGAAAACAGTCCCAGATATTTGACCTTTGAAAGGAAATGAGATCGACGCAAACCTGAAAAATTGGGTCCTTTGGATCTTGCCTAAAAAGCAGTCTTGTTCTTTAGGAATGCATTCTTAATGTGAATTCCAGACAGGGAAAAGGTCTACGTTTTCAGGCGGGGCACACATGGGGTTTAGTATATCCTTGATGGTGAAAATCTTGTCGATGCTTTCTGTAAGTTCTGCGAAATCTCTCTGACTATAAGATGCTATACATAGATATTTTATAGAGGGTGGACACCAACTTTTAGATTGTGGTATATTTGGTATAAAGCAGTGGGAAGTTTGGAAACAGGGTTCAATGTGCCGTTCAAGTTGTTCATGTCTACAAACCCAAACAGGAGGCCAGTTTAAATTAGTTTTTGAAGCATTTCTAGAACTCTCAAAATAAGAAGTTCACTCAAATACCAGGATATTTGAAAATGTGTAACTTTTCAAATCTGTGAAGGGTAATTATGATAGAGTCCCTTTAAATGTAATATATAATTAAATATAATGCACCAAAATATATCATGTACAATATTCAGTATAGTTACCCCTTTATTGGCAAAGATAGAAAATAGAACAAAGAACACATAAAATAATGCATGCTTCTCCCCTTAAATTGTTCATGTACGTTTTCTCCCCCCAATTTTTTTTTTTTTTTGCTATGGAACATTTACATTTAACTCCAATTCCTGAAAACATATAACAAGAAACTACCAGAAAATCTTCCCATCCCAATAAAGTAAGTAATTTGCTATTCTTTTTGTGTTAAGAAAGTTAAAAATGGAAAATAGAGGAATTTAAAATCTTGTCTAAAGTGTAAAGGAGCAGATTATCAGTGTTGTTCTTAATCTTGTTTTGTCACCTTGTAACATTCTGGAGACTCTTACCCTGCAATAAACAGATTAACTGATTTACTCTTTGAGGCCCTCTGTTTTCCTCATTTGTAATATGAAAGTTTTGTTTTAACCTCCAGGTTCTTTTACAGTTCTCCAATTCCATAGAATAGTGCAGTTTTTGATTGGGAACTATTCTTGGCCAAAATAAGATGGTCAAATAGGCCAAGATACTAGTAACAACTAAAATATGTGCAGTAAGTAATGAGGTATCCAGAGTCCTAATAGAAATAGAAATCACACTCTGAAAAAATCTTATTAGATAAATTAGCTGAATAGGTTGATCTGTACCTCTCTTTTTCATTCTTCTCACCATCAGGAAATTGAAGATTGCCTCAGAAAAATAGTGCCTCCAAAACTAGAAATAACAGTCCCATTTGACTTTCATGACATTCACAGCATAGTACTAAGTTTGATTCTTTTACTCATTCCAACTTTTACCTGAAATAAGTGGGCTACGTGATCAGTGGTAAAGTTAGAATAAAAAGAAGGTAGCTTTAGCAGGACTTCACCTTGGTAGTACCTTGGTTAGATCACCAGAACCAATGACTTTTTTTAAAAAAAAGATTTTTAGGGTTTGAAATTTAATTTTGCAGGCACATCCAGAAATTATTTACCAGTCTCAGAGATTGATTTACATTAACCACACTCATAAAAGTTATTATGTTAATATATGTTAATATATGAATGCCAGTTTACTAACTTACAGTGAGAAGTAGATCTACCAAGCAGACCAGACTAAAACATCTAGTGGTCAATATATTCAACAAGAGTACAGTATGCTTTTATGTAAAAACCATTACAGTCACACCTTTGTATGGATTTATCCTAGTTTCCTGATAGAACTTGGGCCACCTGATAAACATTTCTAAAATCTGTTTCCTCTCTATTCCTACTTTCTGAGACTAGTCCTCATTATTTCTCTATGCCACACGCATTCAAACAGTTTTCTTCTCATTATGACTACTCTGGAGTCAGGTGCTGTGCTTGACTAGGCAGTGGCAACCAGTTTCCTACTTCAGATTTTATACAGTTAGTAGGATTCCTATATAATATATATAGGAAACATATTTCATATAATGAATTAATATGACCTTTGCTTTAAGAATTGCACATACATCTTGAAATAACTGAAGACATATTGGGATGTTGTAAAACAAATGTTGGAAATAACTATCTTAAAGGAAATTTTTTCCAAAGATTTTATGTAGTTATTTTTCGAGAGATGGGAATGAATGGAGAAAGAAGGAGAGAAACCTCAATATACATCAGTTGGTTGCCTCTTGCGTGTCCCCAAGTGGGGACCTAGCCCACAACCCTGGCCTGTGCCCTGACTAGGAATCAAACTGGCGACCTTTTGGTTTGCAGGCCAGCACCCAACCCACTGAGTCGCACCAGCCAGGGCAAAGGAAATGTTTTTTAAAAAGACATTACTGGAGGGCATCCTAATTTTTTGAATGCTTAAAGCATGCGGCACTTAAATTTATATCTTGAATATGTAGTAGCCCATCACTACATATCATTTATAGCAGTCAATCCCATGTGTAAGATACCAAATTATACAAAAAAGTAGGAAATGTATAAAAACAAAAGTTGCCTAATATTGAGCATTGAACCATTTAAAAATATAAAGTGAATGTTACAACATCACTTGTGGAAGAGTTGACTTTAGGAACATAGTGGCCATTAAAAATCCCAATAGATAATACTGGACATTCAAAGAGGAAGAGAACTGAGTTTATGAAATGGGAAGGAAAGAGAGGTTTTAATACCATTGAGAGTAAAGCAAAAGAACTTATTGCTCTTAACTATTTTGTATTTAGTTGGCCATTGGCAAGGACTGCACCAAGTATGGAGAAAGAAGATAACCCTTGTGCCCAGATAAAAGGGAGCAGACCTGGAGGTGGAGCTAGGAACCCTAATCAGAGTAAACAGAAGAGCCAGGGGACAGGTAGTAAGTAGCTGGTGCTCTGAAGCCAAGCAGATGGGTTATTAGTTTCTGGGGGAAGTCTGTACTTCGAATCATCCCTGTTTCAAACTTTGATCCACTTCAGTACAAGAATACCTAAGTTTCACTTACTTCATTTGATTTTTCTTGTAGCTTCCTCTTCTCAGAAAAGGAGGGGCAAATGACAATATGCTTTTAAAGTGGTTTCTGTGGTCTTTAATAGTCTCCAAGTTTTGAATCTATGGTGGTAAAAGATATTGAAACTCCCCTGCATATCTCATTTCCTTTCTGGTCGGTCCAAAGTGAGGGAGACAGAAAATAATTATACTTTTGGGATATTGGTCTCTCTGGACTGATGGTGGAAAGTGAAGGTTTCAGGGTGTTTAGGCTCTGTGTGTGTGTGTGTGTGTGTGTGTGTGTGTGTGTGTGTGAGAGAGAGAGAGAAAAGTTTGCAAACTGGTCACAAGGTGGTGTACATACATAGGGTTTTCTTTCAAATTTCATTCAGGATTGCATTGTTGTGCCTTTAGTGTGGAGGAAAAGGACAAGGTAGTTTCCTGTAGCACCAGCTCCTAGCTGCACTGTTTACTTGAAAGGCTGAAGGTATGGTGGTCTTTTGGAGCCTCAGATTTCTAAACACTGCTGGCCCTTACTGCAACCCATGGCAAGCAGGCACTATAGATTTACTGTTCCTCTAATTGGGTTCCTTTGCCTGTCTTCAGATGAAGTATGTTCAGCTACATGGAAGGGGAGTGTTCCCTGATGAAGGGGTCAATTATTAGTAGACACCTGTAGGTTAACTGAAAAGCTCAGTATCTGCTAAGAGACTAACACTAAGCTTGGGTATATGAAGGATGAAAAAAAAAAAAAACCCACAGAAAAACAACATGGCATTATGCCTGAAGTCTGGGGAGTCAAAATTAATCCCCACAAAGCAAATGTCAAAATAGCCAATCCATACAACAAATACATTAAAAATAATAGAATTAGTGAGATTCATGTAAATCAGTGTAGTAGAAGAAAATTGCAAGGAGAGGGAATTTGAACTAGGCTTTGAAGAATGAGGAACATTTTGGTGTCCAGAGAGAACAAATAAGATAACACTTGGTTATTAATGCCCTAATGAATAGTTACTGACAGCCATAGCTATTCTTTCATAATCAAGAAAAGAAAGGTGACAACTTAATGGAACTGTCTCTTGATTTTTTACTTTATAAAACTGAAAAGGAAAAATAGGTATCAAGGCTTGAATTTTAGATCATCTTTTGAGAGCTCTCTGAAAAAGCAGGGAAATTTTCTAGAGACGAGGGCATGCATGGATGTCAGCATCAGGGAGCAGGACTTTTAAAGTGAGACACAAAGGAGATGATGACTGTAGGGAAGGGTGAGTCTGGAGACCAGAGTCTTGCCACTAATTCCCTGGTAAGTCCCTTACTCACTCTGCACCTGCTTTCCTCAGCAGTAAAATGAGAAGGGTCAGGAGCTAAAATTCTTTGACTTTGTGTATGCTTTTATGAAAGAAACCTTATAAACAAATATTCAGTATGGTTTTTCTGGTTTAGTATATAATTTCTCCGCAGAATTTTTGGACTTTATCATTTTGTAATATGGACTGGAACAAGGAGAAAGTGTTAGTCTCCGGAAATCCATCAGTTAAAGGCAGGTTTTAGCTTCATTAGGTTTGTTGGCAGAGTCTCTAATATTGCCTTGGTGACCTGGTGCTAATTCCTCTCTAATTTCCACTGGTTGGAATTCAGGAGGCAATGTATATCTTAGCCAAGATAAGCGAGAAATGGAAATAGGGATATGAAAAGAAATAATAAACTGCTCAAAAATGATTAAACACTTATGGTGACCAGAGATAGTCTAGTCACAATTCGCGGGAGAATGTATACATATTCAACTGGTAAAGGGAAAGCTTAAAAATTAAAAGAATAAAAATTTATACTAAGCCAATACGTAAAGCTTGTAAAATTTCTTCTCTGATCTGTGATGACTAACTTCTTAATTTTAACTTCCTGGTTAGATTTATAAATCATCTTATACTCCTTTATAACAAAAAGTTTTACATTTTCCTAAGTTTGCAAGTTGTCTTAAATAAAACTTTATTTTCTCATTGCAATGAGTTTGTTGCATGTAAAATTATTTTAAATAATTGGAATCACTCTACACACAGTTTTAAGGTTTTCAAATTTATGAAAGGATCATAAATTGGAAATACAATTAACAGATTTTTTACACATCGTTTCTAAATTCCTTATTCTGTTTCAAATCTGGCACCTTTTTCAAATTAGGCCTTAGCAGAGTTGTTGTTTAATTCAAACTTTTCGAACTTAAAAAAAATTGAATAGTTATTCATAGCATTCAGAATTCAAAAGATACTAGAGGGTATTTGAAGAAAGCTCTCCTACCCCTGTTCCCAGTCACTCAATTTATTTCCAGGGGTGACCTGGGATACCCCTCCAGAGATATTTTATCCATATCTAAGAAAATAAATTTACATATTCTTTTATCTCCTTTTTTTTCATACAAGTGGCAGCATCCTGTGCATTCAGGATAGCACCTTGCTTTTCTCACTCAATGCTACCCTTGAAAATAAGTCCAAATGCACACTAAACAAATAGCTTCCTCTTTCTTCTTGACAGATATGTTATCCAACAAATGGCTATATTTTGTTTAATAAATCCTCTATTAATGGACAGATGGGCTGTTTCTAATCTTTTGCTATTGACACAACTAGCTCTTATTGAGTGCCAAGCTTTGTTCTATGTGCCTCACATAAACTTTAATCCTCAGTGCTGGAAAAAAAAAATAAAAACAAAAATTCTTTCACATACACTATTTCACATGGGGAATATTTATGCCAGACAAATTCCTGGAAGTAGCCAAATTCCATGGATATAAATCTCTAGATTTGAGGGTATGTGCATTTAATTTTGGCAGGTAGAGTACATGTGCCAATTTATATCTATGCCAGCCATGTTAAGAACATACCTGATTGCTCCAACCAGGTGCAATGAAACTTTTTGATTTTTGCTAATCTGACAGGTGAAAACATTTATTTCAGTATAACTTTAGTTTGTATTTCTCTTGTGAGTGAAGTTAGGCAACCTATTGTAAGTTTAAGAACAATGTGTATGTCCTTATCTATAAAATATTGTAGTGTTTGCTCATTTATATATTGAGATATCTCTTTGTAATGATTTGTAGGACCTTTATATATAGTAGGAAAATTAGAAATTTCCTATGATATAAATTGAAAGTGTTCCTTTGGCTTTGCTTAGAAAGCACTTTGCCAAACGTAAGTTTTTACGTAGTTGATTTACCAATATTTTTTGGTTTCTGGTTGTTAGAAAACCTAAGATTATAAAAAAAGAAAATACTTCCCATGGTTTCTATTGTTTTATGGTTTTATTTCTTTACATTTGAAGCTTTGATCCATTTGGAATTTACCTTAATAAAATTTTGGAATTTTATAAGAAGTGAGGGATAAATTAACTTTTTTCCCCCTAGAAGGAGACCCAGCTTTATTAACATTTATTGACTAAACTATCTTCTACAAATCAGAAATCCCACCTTTTATCATAAGGTAAATTATCATTCTAACATTTTTAGAATGATATATTCAATTTTATTTAGTGATGCCAAATTTGGATGTTTTATTCCTAATATCCAAGCTACTAAGGAAGTAATTATAGGGCTTATTATTTTGTATTGAAAAAATAAGATACCAAACCTGAGAGCAGATTATCCAAATACAAATGTGTATGGCTCTTAGAAAAAGAAAGAAATTTTGGGGCAAATAAAAACTCAAAAATAGAATTATTTAATTAGATGCTTTTCAGAATAATCTTAGTTATATTTTATTGAAATGGACAGGTACTTTGGTATAGCAGAAAGAATACTGGACTAGGAGGCAGGAGGCTTGCTGACATTTTTTGTCTTAGTCTGGTCTCTTCCTAATTTAATAACAACAACAAACACTTAGAACATTGCCTGGCCTAGAGTAACTGCTAAAAGTTTTACATATATTAATTCATTCAGTGTATGTAATTGATGAAAATTTGCAATTTGTTATGAATTATACAAATGTTAAATATTACATATAAAAGTGTCCATAGGTCCTTTTAGCTTGATGAAAAAAACAGTTATGAACTACATGCATGGTATGAAATAAATGGATATAAATTACCATGATAATCTGGGAGAGCCTGTGGATTACAACCTTTTCAACATTTTCCCTTACCTTCACATTTCTGTGCCTTTGCTTATGCTGTTGTTCCCTAGTTCTGAATGCCTTCTCTACCAAACCATCCCCCCAGCACAGAAGTCTGTATCCTTCTTTTCTTTTCTTTTTTTCTTTTCTCTTCTCTTTTCTCTTCTCTTCTCTCCCTCCCTTTCTTTTCTTTTTTCTTTTCTTTTTTATTTTATTTTCTTTCTTTTCTCCTTTCTTTGCCTCTCACACACCCCCAGCTGGGGACCTGGCCCGCAACCCAGGCATGTGCCCTGACTGGAATGGAACTGGTGACCTTTTGGTTCACAGGATGACGCCCAACCCACTGAGCTACACTTGTCAGGGCGTGTTTCTTTCTTTTATTTAAGGACTACCTCAAATGCCACCTCCTAGCTTCTCTTCCAGGTAGAACTACTCATGTACTCTCTTAATTCCCTAGTACTTCATATACAACAGCATGCATTATAATAGGGGTAGATTCAATGTTTATTTTGTTTTATCAATGAGACTTGAGTTTCTTGAGGACAAGGTCTGTGCATTATTCATCTTTGTATCTTTGTGCAGCTCCTGACATAGTGCCAGGCCTATAATAGGCTTTCAGCTGAGAGAAAAGGATAAAAATTTGCATACATGACTATACAGTATCCTATCTGGTAAAAGTTGGAAAGGCTTTAATCAGAATCAGCTTGTGTGCCCCAATAGCTGGTAAAATAAAAAATTTCAATCATTTGTTACATTTCTCTTTGAATGTATGGGAACTTGAATGGAAAGTATTAAATTCTTTATGGCCTATTTTAAAGGTGTGATCTACAGGGTCAAAATCAGACATTTTCTGTGATTATATGTTTAACTTTCTCATTTTATTTGAAAAAAATTCACACTTAGGTTGCTAGCTAAATAATGTTGTTGCTTAAAATTAGATTAGGAAATAAATACAGAAACATTGCATTTATCAGACAGTCAGACTTCTGCCAGTTACAACTGTCTGGAACATATTCAAGAATCCCAGAAAGAATCCAGAAAGATCTTTGAAGTTGGAAGAAAATAGCTCTCACGAAGTCTGTGCACTTGACGTAGGAGGGGAGGCACAGTGCCACTCGCATGCCAAGGCCTACTTACTGACTTTGGATTTTCATAGAAAATGCCATGGACTGCTTAGCAAGTTTGGATATTTGGCTTCCTTTCCAGACATTTTTGCTTATCTTGGGTTTGAATAAAACAAAGATTAAAACAAATCTCCCATCCATACTGTCTTAAGGCACTAAATAAAGTATTGTTGAAATAAGTGTGAAAGTGATTCTCATGTTTTTCTCCTATAAATCACGGAAACTTACTTTGTTTTATATTTTTTAGTTTTTTAAGAATTCTGATTGGCTAACATAAAATTGGTGGTGACAGTACTTAATTTATTCTACTTTTTTACAAACAGGTTTAAAAAGAATGATATCTCTGATCTCATCTCTTTGAAAGGGGGTGATTAATTTGAGGTAGAAAGCCTTTATTCATTCAAGTATTAATGTTATTTATCATAGGTTGAAATCTTGAAAGTGGAAGGAACATGTATAAATTTCTTGGCATAGTTTGGTAAAAACTATATAAATAGACCAGGAGGAAAAGTCAAAAGACATGTTTAAATTATTCGGGGGCCTATTTTAATGCATGCTTTTTGTGGTGGGACAACAAATGAAAACAGGTATCATTCAGTTTTCTTTTTCTCTTCTCTTTCTAGATTGCCAAAATGCTTTGGAATTTTTAACTAACTATAAGAAAAATCTAAAATAGATTTAAGACTGTAAAAACAGAAGCTGCAGCAAGGGGGATTCAGTGCCAATGCATCAACAAAAAAGACAGCTAGAGTTAGTGGAAGGAAATCTTCCTGTTTTTGTGTTTCCCACGGAGTTAATATTTTATGCAGATGACCAGTCAACGCATAAGCAAGTGTTGACTCTATATAATCCCTATGAGTTTGCCTTAAAGTTCAAAGGTGAGTCTCCTAGGTCTATTTGATGGATTTTAACTAGTCCCTACTAAATTTTTACTTGTAGAAACTAATTTTTTAAAAAACACTAATGGCCATTGTGACTTTTTCTTTCAGTTTTGTGTACTACTCCAAATAAGTATGTTGTCGTTGATGCTGCAGGTGCAGTAAAGCCTCAGTGTTGTGTGGATATGTAAGTCCCAATCAATTCCTGGTAACATGTTTTAGTGTGTTAATATTTGTGTTTAACTGTTTAACTTGAAAATTGTTTTTTCTTGAAGCTGTTCCCACATAGGCATTTATTATACTTTTTTTTTGCTGAAAGTGTTAGTCTATCAAAATACTTGGGGGCTGGGGGTAGGAAAGAGTAAAGGGGGTCAAATATATGCTGACAGAAGGAGATTTGACTTTGGGTGGTGGGCACACAATACAATATACAGATGATGTATCATAGTTATACACTTGTAGCCTATATAATTTTACTAATCAATGTCACCCCAATAAATATAAGTAAAAAGACAAAAATTCTTGTTAAGACGTTTCTAAGAGATTCTAAACAGGTCAATAAAAAATATTTCATTATGTTGGAACTGATTGTGTGTTACTCTTTCCATGAACATTTCCTCATAGTTGTGCTTTTAGTCATAACGGACATTTGTGAAGGTAAAGTTCTAACTTATTCCTTTACATTTCTCTAGCTATAATAAAAATTTAGCTTTCTTTGAAACATCTTGCTATTATAGTGACATTTGGGAAACTAATACTATACTCTCAGAACAATGGTAATGTAAGTTCATCTGAAATAATTCAGCTAATAAGCTTGGAAGTACATCTATACAAAGAGGAAGCAAGTACGTTTATCTGTAAAAGGTTATCTGAGCTCTTCCAGATAATTTCTTCTTAGAATGTCAGATAAATGATTGTTTTTTTCAAGCTGTTTATATTTAATTTTCGCTTTAGAACTGGTGGTGACCAGGTGAATCCATTGACCTGCCCTAAATTTAAACCACCAAATAAACTGCATTTGTTTAAATTTTCTGTGAGAATGAGAAGCAGAAGTATTTTTTTAAATAGACTTAAAGCTTTAAAATAATGTGTATTTAAGGATGTATTTTGCACATTTCTTTTGATTTTCATTCAGTGCAAAATAAGCAAGGACTATTCCAAAGAAATATAGTCTCTAGTCAATTAAATGTGTTACCTTAGACCTAATTGTTCTGTGTTCTATATTAAGAATGAAGTAAAATGTATTGAATTGCAGATAAGTCATAACATGAAAGTACCTTAAACTTTTCAGAGAGATATAGACATGTATTGTTAGCTTTTGGTTGGATTGCTCAGAATGGATTACTTATGCAAATGCTTATTTTCACCTGCATTCATGGATTTCAGTTTTAAATCTAGGGTGAGGTTTGTTACTTGAACAATAAGAGGCAATAGAGATTTATGAGACTTTTGTGGGGGGAAGAAACAATTTCATATATTTTATTTAGTAAATATTCCTGCACACAGATATCCAGAAAAAATGTCATTGCCAAAGGAATTTTCTTTACCTGTCAGACTTCTATTCTATGTTTCAGAGTATGTGCTTTTATCAAATATTTCAGAATTACCCATTTCTTTTTGGGTTTTACTATAATTTTTTATTTTTATTAGCAAATTTCTATATTTGAGTATTTGGTTATGGTAACTTAATATGGTTTTATTGTATGAAATCTCTTGCTGAATTTTGTTTGATAGCCCCCCAGAAACCTAAACATCATTTGTTATTTTTTAATGTTTTCAGTGTGATTCGTCATAGAGATGTTCGATCCTGTCACTATGGTGTAATAGACAAATTTCGTCTGCAAGTTTCTGAGCAAAGCCAGAGGAAGGCTTTAGGAAGGAAAGAGGTTGTGGCTACTCTTCTCCCTTCTGCAAAAGAGCAACAAAAGGAAGAAGAGGAAAAAAGAATAAAGGAACCATTAAGCGAAAGTTTATTTTTTGAGCAGCCATTTCAACCAGGTAATTTTGGTTTGTTTTTAAAGCTCTTTTGAGGTCTTACGCATTTCTAACTTTAATCAGGGAGCTATGAATAATTACTAGAAAAATAATCTGTCACTTTAAACCTAATCAGCTACTTCAAAACAGAACCTACAGGTCAAGATCTAGAGCTGGACTTCCAGAGAGGACTAGAGGATGATGAAAGGAGAGGGCAAATGTTGTCATAACCTTTAAATCTATAAAACCTGGGGAATGTACTTTATAATGCTAGCACAATTTGGCAATTATATACTTTTGTTCCTGTGACTTTCCTATATTCTTTCTCATTTAATTAGTTCAGAGAAGGAGAGAGAGAGATTGTCTTTGGCAATAGGCCAAGCTTGGTGAACTGTTCATATTATTTTGAAAAAAATCTCATTAAAGTTGAAGTTAATTAAACTAAGTAGATTATAATATCCCTTATGGGCTATTAATTGAATCCCTCTCCATTCCTCATTTCCTTCCAGCTCAGATATTCAGAAATGTTATGATATATTCTTTCAACATTGACGCTATCCTCATCTTCAACTCTTTGGATGTCTTCCCCCCTGCCCTTAACTTCTCATTATCTCTGTCCAACCCTATTATTAAAGGAGGAAGATAAATTTTCCATAAGAAAACATGGAAACTTTTTTAATAGTGATACATGAATGTGACAGTAGCTGTCCTTGAAATTGCCACATAAAGTCTACTTCTCATTATATTATACCAATTTGTTCATCTTAGCATGTTTATTTCAATAACACAGGGAGTAATGCCTCTTTATTTACTGTAGTCAAGGCTTCTCAGTCCATGTAGAAAATGCTCAGATTTTTTGGTGGAACCATGGCTAGGGACCAGGTAGTAGCTAGTAGATTGTTCTCTTCTTAGCAATTGTTATTGACTGATAGGACCAGCTTTTCATCTTTTGAAGCTGTAAGAGCCCCTTTGTCAAATGTCACTTTGGCCTCAGATCAATAGTAAGTTGACTTATAAATATTTATGAGATACAAGTTTCCCCTTTTAAAATGCCTTCTCCAGAACAAGAAAGGCCATATAATGAATATTTGTTTTTCTTTTTGAATAATTAGAGTTAAAAGTTTAGCCTTGGTTGGTGTGGATCAGTGGATTGAGTGCTGACCTGTGAAACAAAAGGGAAGCCAGTTGGATTCCCAGTCAGGGCAACATATGCCTGGGTTGCAGGCTGGGTCCCCAGTAGGTGGCGTGTGAGAGGCAACCACTCATTGATGTTTCTCTCCCTCTCCTGCTCCCTCTTTCCCTCTCTCTAAAAATAAATAACATAAATTAATTAAAAAATAAAAATAAAAAACAACAATTACTAGCAAAGGAGGAACACTATTTACAAATTGCCTGAGTAATATCCAGAAAAGTGATAGAATAAAAAATTTTAAAAAAGTTCAGTTATAGTTTTTATCCTCTATTATTTTTAAATGTATTAGAAATCAAATGAAAAATTATCCTGAAAGGCTAAATAATTAAAATGTGTATTAATTGAGCATTTTATTCATGTTTTAGTTTTATAATGAAACTTTTGTATCTGAAGTATATTAAAATAGTCCTCTAATTGTAAAATTGGAGTAGGCAGATGAATGAAGATAGGTAATATTGGAATAACACGTGGTGATCTCTGTCTTGGAAAAAAAAAATCTGTCTAAGCCATCCATGTCAGGAAGCTCAATGAAAACAGGCCTCTTATTTGTCTTGTTCACTATTATGTCCTCTGCAAAGAGTACAATCATCCTTTGGTATCTAAGGGTAACTGGCTCCAGGACCCCTCCCTCCCCAGCCCTGAATGCTAAAATCCACAGATGCTCAAATGCCATTTTCAGCCTTTTGTATCCATGGGCTCCACATCCTCCAACTGCAAATCAGCGGTTGGTTGAATCTGAAGATATGGAACCCATGAATATGAAGGACTGACTACTTACATGGGAAATGTGTGCATGGGCTACACTAGGACAGCTGGACTTCTTATTTTATAGGGTCTTTTGGATTGGTTTCCTTTGTCTTGTAAGGTTTCTGTTGCTATGGACACTCTAGAACAAGGGCAATACAACAGTAAAGTCCTATGTATAGTCTTGGCCAACATGTCCTGTTTGTGGGTAGATACCCCAATGTTTCTAATATGGAATTGAGTAAAATTTTCTTCTTTAATAGAGTGTAATGGTGACTGATTTAGTCTGTGTTGGCAAAGTGATATTTTTAACTTCTGTTTATTATTTTAATACAGTCATGTGCCACTTAATGACTGGGATATGTTCTGAGAAATGTGCCATTAGATAATTGTTGTTCATATATCATATAGTGCAATTACACAAACCTAGATGATATAGTCTACTACACACCTAGGCCATATGGTATAGCCTATTGCTCCTAGGCGACAAACCTGTACAATGTGTCACTGCACAAAACAACATGAGATTAAATCAAGCACAAGAGAAAATGATGTAATCAAGAGATGTTGAAAACATGAGACCTATGAGGCTGCTGTTGCCTGCTTAACATGGCATACTTTTTTACAGCAAACTCTATAAATAGAAAGAGTATACTGTAAAAATAATGATAAAAGTCTATATAATATAGAAAATACAGAAGCCACTAACATAGTTATTATCATTATCATATACTATATACTGTACACAAGTGTATGAGCTATACTTTTATATTACTAGTAGCTCAGTAAGTTTGTTTACATCATATTCACACAAAAATGTGAGAAATGTGTTTTGCTATGACACTAGGATGGCTAAAACATAACTAGGTGATAAGAATTTTTCAGCTCCATTTTAATCTTATGGGACTGCTGTTGTATATGCTGTCTGTAGTTGACCAAAACATTATTATTCCACACAGGACTGTAATGAATTAATTATGTGTGTTTTCCAGTATGTATCATTCTAAGGTTTTTCATTAAGTTTCTCTAAGCTAAAATGTTGAAACAAATTGAGAATATTTTTGGGAGGTTTTGAAGTGGTATTATTTTTATGTCTTTAGCTTGAAAGGTGTTTATTAGACATATTTCAAGTATAAAAATGTGAGGCTCTTTGAACTAGCTGGAAAATGGCCAAAGGCTTACTCATGATAGATTTAGATTTTTAAATGTATTGAGGCAGTAAAAATGAAATTTTTTTCTCAAGTTGATTGTATAAAAAACATATAGCAATATAAATTTTTAAAAGAATATAGCCTCTATAATTTCATATACTTAACATATCTGGCTCTGGACAGGTAACTAAGTTAGAGCATTGTCCTGATATACCAAGGTTATGGGTTCCACCCACAGTCAGGACACATACAAGAATCAACTAGTGAATGCATAAATAAATGGAAGAGCAAATCTTTCTCTCTCTCTCTAAAAATCAATAAAATAAAAATTTAACCAAAAACCCCCCACAGCCAAATCATGGACAAAAAGTCTGCTGATATAAATGTTCATGTTACTTTCCAGGCCTTGTCTATGCACATAAATATAATTTTATATATATATATTTTTTTCATTTAATAGAAATTTAACTAAGAGAAACCCACAAAGCATACTGTTATAAAATACCACAGCCCGAGTTATTAAAGAGATGTTTTAAAAAGATGCAGCTGAATCTTAGTGGGTTTGACTTAATTATGTTACTAATGAATTATGACTTTGCAATGTTTGAGTCAGTGCCCTCTGGCTTAAGAAAATTAGGCTCTTTCAAAAATCTTATTGTTTATTATAATAAAAGATTGAAGGTGACCTAAAAGACTATCAGTTAAGGCTTGGTTAAATTTTGAATATTTTTGAAATGGGATGCCAGGCAGGCATTTATAAGGATTTGATAGAATGATAGATGGTTATATATTGACATGGAAAGAGGTTCAAATATATACCTAAGTGAGAGGAAAAATAAGGCTTAGAACAGTAGGTATAATCTCATTTACATAAAAATTATTTTACATATTTATATGGATATTAATAAAATCTGAAAGGATTTATAACAAGCTGTGAATAGTGTTATTTCCAGGAAGATGGGATTACATAGGAACCTTTATGATTTCTATATCTCTATAAAATTCTTACAACAATAAAAAAAAAGGTATTTCCATTTTGAAAAATTTCAAGCATTTATGTAAATGTTTTTGGAATTTCTCTAAATACTAAAGATTCCTTAAAATTATCTTTAAACAAAACCAGAATCCTGGCAAGGGCAACAGTATATGTGAAAAAACCTCTAAGTTGTTTTTAGAAGCAAGCTCAGGGATTTTTGTCTTTTTGCAGAAAATAGAACTGTCTCCTCAGGACCTAGTTTACTAACTGTCTTCCTGGGAGTGGTGTGCATTGCAGCTCTGATGCTTCCTACACTGGGGGATGTGGAATCGCTTGTGCCTCTCTACCTCCACTTAAGTGTGAATCAAAAATTAGTGGCTGCTTACATCTTAGGTAAGTGTTTTAAAGATGCACTTGGGGGCATATATGTAGGCATTTTTTATGGCTTGGAGGTGGTAGTGATGGTCTTATGTGTATGAGGTGATTGTGGTGGTAGTGGTTTGATTTTTTTTTTTTTTACAAAAACATAAAAGATTGCTTTAAAAGCATGTTGAGGTAAAGTGAATTTTAAGATTTAATTCTTGGCTCATATTTAGTTCTTTTCAGTTTAACTAGTACCTAATACTGTATTTATTCAATTATTTTTGCTGACTTACAATGGTATAAAACATGTAAAATGCATTTATTCCATGAAACACCATTTCTTCTTCTAGGAATTGATTCTAGGGAAACACTTAGACAAAATGTACACAGTGATAAAGAAGAACAATGCAGCCTTGTTTAGTATTGTGAACATTTCTCTTCAAACCAGTTCTCTTTTTTCCTGTTAAGTCATTCTTTCAGTCATCCTAACTTGAAATCTTATAATTAGTTCAACTGAACATTTATTCAGCACTTCCTGAATGTGTCAAGGATTAGGGTTCTGGTGACAAATGACTCTTCATAGTCTCTCACTTCTTCTGAGATGCCATATCTTTTCAGTATTCTCTTTCAGTATTCCTTGGTGTGCTAAATTCAAAATTGTTTTCAATTAATAAATCGTCTCCCTTCCTTCTGTCTGTGTCCCTTCTCTTGCTATTCCTGTCCTCTTCCATTATTTTTCCCCTCAAACCATCTATTATATTGCTGTCAGACTACTTTCCATTCTGTTTTGGTTTCACCAGCACCACTCCCTACTCAAAAACCTTCAATGCTTCCCTACAGTCAATAGAATGAAGTATAATTCCATAGTTTGGCATTTGAGACTGTCCATACTCTTTTTGAGACCTCTGTGAGCTACTGTTGTCTAGCTGCTGCCTTACATAAATCCTTGAATAGAGCCATTAGATTATTTGTTGATCCCTGAAAAGCTCATCTAGAGTCCCAGTCTTACCTTGATGCCCTTGCCTTTGCCCTCTCCTCACCTGAATGTCTGCCCATCTCATTGTTCTATATCTTTCTTGTTCATTTTTTAGCATATTTAAGCTTTACCTTTTGGGGTATCTTTTCTGACTGCCTCATTCCTTCATGATAATTCTCCTTCTCTGTACTTCATCACACACTTTTTTTAACCACTCATTTAAGAATGAGCATACTATTAAGTTTTTATGATTTTAGGTCTGGAGTTTCTTCAAAAGAGACAAGCCAAGCAAGAATACTATGCTTCTGTCTATTTGTGGCCCTAGGACCCTGGGATGCAAAAAGGCCCACAGTTTTTTTGTTGATGAAGTCAGCTGGCCTTACAGACACTTTATAATGGCATGTCTGCTATTACTATAGTAATGAAACTAGAAAAAGAGGGAGATATAGATGATGGTTTAAAGATTAGCTATGTTCAGACATTAGTGATTTAATTAAATCTGTCCAGTGACAGCTCTTTGCTATCAATTGGATTTCTTCTGTATAATATCAACTAAATTTGAATTGAATTCAAGTTCTTGACAGAGTACCTGCCTAGGTACTGTATTTTATTTGCTCATTGAGGGATAAACAATTGCTTATTGAATTCTATAAAATACGTATCTTTAACTGTTCTCCAATTTTTTTTTCTTTTAGGTCTTATCACAATGGCTATACTGAGAACATGAGCAAGAAATTCAGTTGACTTCTGAAGTAAATTTATCTTGAAAATATGAATGTGGACTGCCTTTTATCTCTTTCACCCTATTAATATACTACAAACTATTGAATCATTTACAATGATTATAAATATAACCTATATTTTAAATTACTCTATAATTTTATTCAAAGGACTACAGCACATTATGTAATCTTATAATTAGTTCAACTGAACATTTATTCAGTACCTACTGAATGTGTCTTTTCCAGACAACAGGATGTGTCTTTTCCAGACAACAGGATGCTTCTGAGTGACACTTAGGAAATTTTATTTGCAATTCTTTTTATAAGCTGGGGTAGCAGTACTTATATCAGACAAAGTAGATTTCAAAACAAAGGCCATAAAGAGAGACAGAGAAGGACACTTCATAATACTGAAGGGTAGAATCCATCAAAAAGACGTAAGTATTGTAAACATATATGCACCCAACATAGGAGTGCCCAAATATATGAGGAAAATCTTGGAGGACTTCAAGAAAGATATCAGTAGAAACACACTTATAGTAGGGGATTTTAACACCCCACTGTCAACAATGGACAGATCTTCCAAAAAAAGAATCAACAAGGATTTTTTGACACTGAACAACACTCTATATCAAATGGACATAACTGATACATACAGAACCTTTCACCCCAAAGAAGCAAAATGTACATTCTTTTCAAATGCACATGGAGCATTTCGAAAGATAGACCACATAGTAGGACAAAAAACAAGCCTCAACAATTTCAAGAAAATTGAAACTGTATTATTATGCATTTTCTCAGGTCACAATGGCTTGAAACTAGAAACCAACAACCTCAAGGAAAAAACTCAAAAACAATCAAATCCATGGAGACTGAATTACATGTTATTAAACAATGACTGGGTTAACAATGAGATCAAAGAAGCAATCAAAAAGTTTCTGGAAACAAGTGAAAATGAACACACAACAGTCCAAAACCTATGGGACACAGTGAAGGCAGTCCTGAGTGGAAAGTTCATAGTCATACAGGACCACCTAAAAAAGATAGAAACATTTCAAATAAACAACCTAACCCTCCAGCTTCAAGAAGTGGAGAAACAACAACAAACAAAGCCCAGAGCGAGTAGAAGGAAGGAAATAATCAAGATCACAGCAGAATTGAATGACATAGAGACTAAAAGAACAACTCAAAGGATCAGTAAATCCAGGAGCTGGTTCTTTGAAAAGATAAACAAAATCAACAAGCCTTTAACCAGACTCTTCAAGAAAAAAAGAAAGAGGACCCAAATAAATAAAATCAGATATGAAAGAGGAGAAATTACAGCCAATACCACAGAAATACAAAAGACTGTAAGAAATTTCTATGAACAACTATATGCCAAGAAATTTGAAAATCTGGGGGAAATGGACACATTTCTAGAAACATATGATCCTCCAAAATGGAGTCAAGAAGCAGAAAGCGTGAACAGACCGATATCAGCTAGTGAAACTGAAGCAGTAATCAAAATACTCCTGGCACACAAAAACCCTGGACCAGTTGGTTTCACAGGAGAATTTTACAAAGCATTTAAGGAAGAGCAAATCCCTGTCCTTAAATTATTCCAAAAAATCCAAGACGAGGGAAGCCTCCCAAACTCTTTTTATGAGGTCAGCACCATCCTAATCCGAAAACCAGATAAAGACACAACAAAGAAAACTACAGGCCAATATCACTGATGAATATAGATGCTAAAATCATCAACAAAATATTGGCAAAACACATCCAGCAATACATTAAAAAGATCATACACCATGATCAGGTGGGATTCATTCCAGGGATGCAAGGATGGTTCAATATTTGCAAATCAATAAATGTAATACATCATGTAAACAAAATGAAAGAAAAACCACATGATTTTAGCAATAGATGCTGAAAAAGCATTTGATAAAGTGCAGAACCCACTTGTGATAAAAACAGTCAGCAAAGTGGGAATAAAGGGAGCATACCTCAACATAATAAAGGCTCTATGTGAGAAACCTACAGCCAATATCATACTCAAGGGACAAAAGCTAAAAGCTATTCCCCTAAGATCAGAAACAGGACAAGGATATCTGCTTTCACCACGTCTATTCAACATAGTATTGGAAGTTCTAGTCACAATGATCAGACAAGAAAAAGAAATAAAAGGCACCCGAATTGGAAAGAAGGAAGTAAAACTGTCATTGTTTGTAGATGACATGATAGTGTATATAGAGAATCCTACAGGCTCCACCAAAAAACTACTAGACTTAATAAGTGAATTTGGGAAAACAGTGGGATATGAAGTAAGTATGAAGAAATCAAAGGCATTTTTGTACACCAACAATGAAATATCAGAAGCAGAAATCAGGGGAAAAAAAAAACCCATTTGCTATAGCAACAAGAAAAATAAAGTACCTAGGAATAAACTTAACCAAGGAAGTAAAAGATCTTTACACAGAAAACTAAACAGTGAAGAAAGTAATTAAGGAAGACACAAATAAATGGAAGCATATACCGTGCTCATGGATTGGAAAAATTAACATCAAAATGTTCATACTACCCAAAGCAATTTATAGATTCAATGCAATCCCTGTTAAAATACGAATGATGTATTTCACAGACATAGAATAAACATTCAAAAAATGTATATGGAACCATAAACTACCCCGAATAGCCTCAGCAATTTTGAGAAAGAAGAACAAAGAGGGATCACAATACCTGACATCAAACTATATTACAAGGCCACTGTAATGAAAACAGTCTGGTACTGGCATAAGAACAGACACATAGATCAATGAAAGAGAATAGAGAGCCCAGAAATAAACTCATGTCTCTACAAACAATATTTGACAAAGGGAGAAGGAGCATAAAATGGAGTAAAAATCGCCTCTTCAACAAATGGTGTTGGGAGAACTGGCATATTATATGCAAAAAAACATGAAACTAGACCACGAACTTACACAATACACCAAAATATACTGAAGATGTATAAAAAACTTAAATATAAGTTGTGAAACCATAAACGCTCTAGAGGAGAAGATAGGCAGGCAAATATATATCTCACACAACAGTATTTTCACAGATGTGTCCTCTAGGGCAAGGGATATAAGGGAAAGAAAAACAAATGGGACTACATCAAATTAAAGGCCTCCGCACAGCTAAAGAAAACATCAGCAAAATGAAAAGGGAACCAACCATATGGGAAAATATTATTTGCCAGTGATACCTCGGGCAAGAGTTTGATCTCCAAAATATATAAAGAACTCATGTGACTCTACACCAGGAAGACAAAAATCCAATTAAAAAATAGGCAAAGGATCTGAAGAGACACTTCTCCAAGGAGAACATACAGAGGGTCCAGAGACATACGAAAGGATGCTCAACATCTCTAGTCATGAGAGAAATGCAAATTAAAACCACAATGAGATACCAGTACGCACCAGTCAGAATGGCCATCATTAACAAATCAAACAAATACTGGAGAGGTTCTGGAGAGAAGGGGAACCTAGTACAAGTTGGTGGGAACACAGACTGGTGCAGCCACTGTGGAAAACAGTATGGAATTTCCTGGAAGAAAAAAAACAAACAAAATGGAACTGCCTTTTGACCCAGTGACTCCACTGCTGGGTTATATTCTAAGAATTCTGAAACACCAATTCAGAAGAGCCTATGTGCCCCAATGTTCATAGCAGCGTTATTTACAATAGCCAAGTGCTGGAAACAGCCTAAGTGCCCATCAGTAAATTAATGGATCAAAAGACTGGTACATATACACAATGGAGTACTACACAGCAGAATGACTACGCAGCAGAATGAAAGAAGGAACTCCTACCCTTCACGACAGCATGGATGGAATTGGGGAGCATTATGCTAAGTGAAATAACGCAGGCAGTGAAAGACAAATAGTATATGATCTCACCTATATGTGGAACCTAGTCAACAAAACTAACAAACGAGCAAAATAGAACCAGAGACATGGAAATAAAGAACAAACTGACAGTGACCAGTGGGGAGGGTGGAGGGAGATAACAGGGGAAAGAAGGGGAAGGGGCAAGTTGAAGAACATGTATAAAGGGCCCATGGGCATAGACAATTGGGTTGTGATTAGGAGTAGGGGGTGGGCAGGGCAAGGAAGAGCAGTGGGGGAAAAAGTGGGACAACTGTAATTGAACAATAAATTCTTTTTATATTTAAACCTATTGTGCAAAAGACTAAAACGTTATTTTTTTCATCTTTTTTTCCTAATTTACTTTAATTTTTAGCTTATGTGTCCTTCAAAGTTAAAGGCCTAAAAGAACAAACTGACCAGCCTAAAAGTAAAATTGCATTTATTTCCTAGCTATGAACATCAATGTTACTATGTAAATTATTCTGTGGTCTCTATCATTATAAAGAGTTGCCATGGTGTTTCTAAAATGAGTTTTACAGTTAATGTGTGGAGGCTTTTAAAAAAAGCACAAAGTACTGAGGAATCACAGTTATCCTAGTGCTCACAGAAGGCAGCATATTCATCTTCTGAATTACAGAATAGATTGTGGCCTAGACACCAAGCATGTGTGGTTATTTTAAACCTCATAAAAGTAGGGTGATCTCTATTTGATCTAAGAATTCTAAAGGAAGGTAGCCAGGTGTTTAGTTGGTTCACCCTGACTTTACCTCTGAATAATGCTTTATTGTAATAGGAGAAAAAAATCCGTCTTTTCTCCCCAGCCTCTTGCCTAACTGTAAATGACTAGCCCAGATTGGGATTATCAGTTGCTGGGTGGTTTATGTGGAGATAATTTTTCATCTTTAAACCCTAAGCCAACTATAGAAAATCCTTGATATCTTTGTCTTTTATATCAGTCACTGAGACATTTTTTAAGTTTATATTTATTATTAAAACAACTTTATGAAAAAATCCCCGAAGCACAACTATTTGCATTTCTTTATAGCCTCTTCTGATCTCTAACATATATATGCAGTTTAACCGTTATTGTCATACTTACGATTTTTATCTGCGAGCACAATGCATTGAGTCTCTTGAAATTCATTTTTCAGATCTTTTTACAGAATGAAATTATG